GTCGATGTTTATGTCACTTCTATCCGTGAGAGGTTGCACAAAGCCCAAAGTCTTGCCAAACTTCATCTTTCCACCACTCAAACTAAGATGAAGGCACATTTTGACAAGAGGGCTGTATATAGAGACTTTCGCCCTGGCGATTCCGTGTTGGTTTTGCTTCCAAACCCCGGTTCTATTTCACATGCAAAATTCGCTGGGCCATACCTGGTTGAAAGGAAGTTAAATGAGACCAACTTTCTTATTGCTACTCCTGACAGGAAATGTAAGAGCCGAGTGTGTCATGTAAATAGGCTTAAAAGCTATGTAGACAGACCTCACTCTGAAGTGACTGCAGAACAGAGTGAGTGTTCTCCGCTGCCTGCCTCTATTGCCACTGTGGTCATGCAGACAGAAGTTGAGTATATGCTGCATCATGGAATTGCTACGCCCAGTCAGAGCCCGTGGAGCTCCCCCTGCTTGCTTGTTATACACGAAGACATTTCACAGCGCATGCTTAGTCTTAATATTGGGAGATGAAGTAGTACTTGGTAGAGGGTCTGTAGTACTTACCATTGGAAAAAGGTAACGGCTAACTTGAATCATGTGAGGCCCCTCAGCCAAAAATATGTTACCAAATTAGATCTGCTAAAAGGCTACTGGCAAGTGCCCCTCACCCAATGTGCCTCTGAAGTTTCCGCATTCGTCACTCCTGATAGATCACAAATGGAAATCATTGCCGTGAAGTGACTATCGCATGTTCCCTTCGCTAACGGACTTCTGGAAGGGCCCTTAATGAAGGGATTCATTTGTTCACTATGAAATTCTTGTTTTCTACTAAAAACAATAAGGTATGTTGAGTTACCTAACTTTCAGAAATAACTGTCAAATTACGTACAACGCGTTGCTGCGGCGTATACACGAAGACATTTCACAGCGCATGCTTAGTCTTCATATTGGGAGATGAAGTAGTACTTGGTAGAGGGTCTGTAGTACTTACCATTGGAAAAAGGTAACGGCTAACTTGAATCATGTGAGGACCCTCAGCCAAACGGCCTGTGGTCTTTCTCCCTGCATACCGCCAAAGGCCAGCTAGGGCGAAACTGTGTCCATTCTAGCTTTAAGCTGCAGCGTTAGCTTTAGCCGTTATGCCTTTTTGGCTAAAGGTTGCAGGCTTGCCTTCCAGTGGCTTTGTTCTTACCAGCACGTAACTCTGTTCATACTTGCATTCGCTTCATTTGGAAAAGATTATGGAAACATTATTCATGGTTGAGGTTATTATCGGTTATATAGTTGCTGGATAGGAAAATGTAAAGTAGCTCACAGAGACTAAAAGACACACTTTTAAACGATTTTTATTTCGTTTTAGAAACTAACGGATCCTGAATGTGTATCATTATATTGGATCCATGCATTGTCTTAAAGTGACCGCGCCTAATTTACTAGCAGCTGTCGGTGTCCTTAATGTTAATCCAAGAAGAAAATCACTCTGATCTTGACTGAATAACTTCTGTAGTTTTAACAAGAATTAATGTAGATTTAATTTATACAGTGAAGACTACGCAATGCTATTTTACATTTGTTAACTTAAATCATTAATTTGTATCTTTGTTCTATTTATTTAATTGAACAATTTACACCATTTCAAACAGGGCCCACAGATACAACCGGCACCGTGGCCCTGCATACCCCAGCTACGGCCCTGAAATCATTACCTGATACAGGACAATGAAGTCCACATCTAGACCAGACTAAGCTACTTTAGCTTAAACCTACTCTCAATCAAGAGTTACAATTTAGCATTTAAACTCAAAGTCAGTATCTGATATCCTTTTATTTACAATTAATTGTGGTGTGTTGGTGGGAGGGCAGTTTAAAACAATTGAATACAAAAGGACAGACACGTTACTAGTTCATCTGACAACAAGCTCATCTTTCGGGCTCACACTTCCTGAAACCACTTCAAAAACCAAATCTGACTAGTAATGATGTCATCTAAATCTCTTTCTGTAAGGCAAGATGCCACATCTGCAGCCGAGAGACTTCACATTCAGCACCTCAATCAGATCAACTGATTATTGAACACTTGAATGTCAGCATCACACTTATTCACCTTGACATTCTGATCCTGATACAGGCATGCAGTTGGTTACAAGTTAAAAACAGAAATGATACTGATCAACTGAACCTTTGTTTTCATTAAAGCAACATTTCAACAGCAGAGAAGAGGAAACCAGATTCCAATAGTGTTTGAATGTCTTGAGTATTTATGCTGAATCAATTCATACGCATGTCCTTACAAAAATTATTTAATCAAATCTTTCAAAAGAGAATGCAGAAATATCAAATAATCAACAGCCTTATAAATATTTGGAGTATGTTCCTGCTGAAGAACCAAACCCTCACCTGACTGTGCTTTTGGGGTAGACTGCAATTAAAAAAAAAATGGAAAAAGGGCACAAAAAAAAAATAACATCAGAGAGCGAACAAGAGCCACAACTACTCCAGTCTCTTCTGTAGCGTCCCAGGACATCAAGTGATGAGGGTGCATGTTGCAGGCAGAGCGGTTTCTGACATGGCAATTCTGGTGGTAGTTATGTGAAAATATTGTCATTCACATCAAGCCATGTGTAGTTCATGAATGATGCAACAGTCCCAGTCTTCACTCATCCAGGTCCAGTGTGTTGAGCTCCTCCTCCAGTTCGTCTAGATCCTCCCCGGTGAAGAGGTTCTCATCTACTGGCACCGCCTCGGACTCCTCCTCATTGGTTTCTCCGTCCTCCAGCGTCTGGTCCTGGCCAAGCTCTCCGTTCTCCACATCTCCGCCTGACGCCTCGCTCAATTTATTGTCTGTAGAGACAAAACCGAGGTCAGTGATGTCAGAAGGAAGCATGAAGAATCAGAATGACATTTATGGATAACTGTGACCTGATTGTGAGTTATTACACTCATTTAAAGTCTCCCTGTGGTGAAAATCAAGTTTTTTAATGTTGTTTATTTGTCTATGTGGTGTTTTTAATAGGCTTTTAGACAAACCGTGTGCCAATCCATTTATCAACACCATTGCTGAGTATTTTCTCCTTAAAACTGTAGTTTCCCAAAGGCAGTCACAGAAACGCAGTTTGAAACAGCCTTTTTTTGCTACGTCACAAAATTCAATAACCAATCGCGTCAAGGGATCCTATCCTTAGCATATCATTAACTGTGCTGCAAAGCAGAGGGTCTAGTGAGAAGGCAGCCAGGTTAATCCGGTAACAGTTATATTTTTTCTGTAGATGTTTCGCTAACTGTTAATATTTCCCCCTATTTTCACGATGTCATGTGCTGTTAGCGCTTATTTATTTGTATTTAGAACCGCTAACTTGAATAATAACCCGGCGGCAGCAGTATAAAAGTAGCCCGGAGTTAGACGCACATCTCCCGCATTGGTATCCGCACGTCACACGCGTATGATCGCGGGCGCGATTTGGAATCACAAACTTGGCTGCATTTGAATCTTAAAAGTATGTTGAGGACACATCAAGTAAGTAAATTTAACGAATGTTACAGTATCCACTAGGGCTGTGTATCACCAGCAAAGTCACGATATGATACCGAGGCCACGATATGATACATATCACGTTACATGACTGCACTGAATTTCACCTCAGCAGAATTGAGAAAAACAGCTGTTTATTAAACACTGCATACTATAGGGCCATTTCTAACTATTGGCAGAGCAGGCAGTTGACCTCTGCATTATGAAGGGCCTCCATAACTGTACCACAGTACAATATAGGTAACTGCATATGTTTCATGTTTACATTGTGCACTCCCCACCAGGTACAATATTCTGATTGTTTGCATCTTGTTTTTAAGCCCATAAATAATAATGTACTTATTCTAATAAATGTATATTGTAATGTACTCATTCTAATACATTTAAAAAATAATTTACATTGCTGGTAGGTTATCATTGCACAAATTAACACACTCTACAATAAAATAAAAAAACGAGAAGAGAAAAAATAGATACAGAAAACGACAGGCGCTAGGAAACGCTGTTTTGTACTCATTTATTGACGATGAATGCGCTGCTTCTCTGCCGTTCACTGCACAGAACAGACTCAGAGAGAGGTGACACTTCTCCGGGAAAGTCAGACCTCACGTTCGCGGGACAGCACTGGCAAAATCTTCCAACTGAACCATAGCTAAGGTTTATCCAAAAAAGTCGCTAGGTTTGTCAGTATGAATATTCTATGGAAAAAAGCCACTAAAAGGGTCTGAAAGTTGCTAAATCGAGTGCTAAAGTCGCGCTCGTGTGTGTGAGATGTGGGAGCTGATGGCAGGGGGCGGTGGATATTTGTGGCAGTCAATGTGGATATTGTGGATGAGTTCTTCTGTGTCTTCACGTTCTATTAGTTCTACAGCTTCAGTTTCGGAACTTTCACGCTTAGTAACACATACAGCTGTTCCCTCACCACAGTGCAACAATGAAAAGGGACCCCTTTCAAACAGTGACGCGTTCCGTATTGCGGTATTTAAAAAATTTGTATCATAAAAATAAACACCGGTATTCGGTATGAACCGGTATACCGCTCAGCACTATCCGCTAGTAAAAACAGTTTTATCAGTCATTATCCATGTACGAACCAGCGCAAACAGATAATGTTACCTCACCAAGTTAGCCATCAGTCTCCCTGCTTATGTTGAGGATACCAGCTTATTTCTGGTTCAAACACATATGGCTTAATTAAACCAATATTTCCTCTTGCCATTGCTTCGCGTTTACTACAGTTCAGTTAGTGGATCAGGAGGCGCTGGCTCATGGCTGGCTGGTGTGTGACTGAGTGGAGGCAGGGCTAATTTGCGTATTCATAGATCTGCTTATAGTAAATAAGGCAAGGGTGTAGTTACATTCAAGCTATTTTAAGACATGAGAAAATTTTCACAAGAAAAAAACATTTAAATATGTCATTTTGATGATAAAAGATGAGTTTTAAAAGATACAATATTTGACCACAGGGGGACTTTAAGACAGAGGTGGTGAAGGTTTAAGCACTATATAACAGACCCCTATAAAGGAGTAGTTCTGAAATCGTGGTCTGGAAGTTAATTGGGAGATCAAAAAAGGAAATTTTAAATAGTAAATAAATAGTTATAGTTGAATGGTAAATGCCAATATTGAATGAACTATAAAATAAAATTAACTTTTGATGTGGTTCACAACCTGAAAACTAGGTAAAAGATATTTCATGTCTCTCTTTTTGTTTTGTCATTCTACACCTCACTGCTTGCCTATTCAAACGCAAAACTATACCGACATCTCTCAAATTAGCACAGGAAATGAAACGTCATATGAGGGAAGATATTCAGAAGCATCTCACCATCCGTGTCATTTGTTGTAGGAGCTTTGGCAGTAAACCGGTCTGCTGTTGCCACCGTTATACCAGCATTATCCACCTCTTTAGGGATAAATCTAGCAATGTCAATGTCCTGAACCTCCTCTGTGTCCTCCATCTGGAAAGACAATCATGTTAACAATGCTAAACGACTTGCAAAGCAACACAAACACAAATTTTAAACATCACAAGATATAGTTAAGATTAAAGTCCATTGTTTTTATCTAAAATTATTATATAGCTTATATGGGGTGGTGTTGCATTCTGTTAAACAATTAAATATATTTTTTTCTCACCTCGTTAGAAACCTCAGTGTCATCATCTTCAGAATATTTAGTATCATCAGCCTCCTCATCATCATCGTTAACAAGCTCAGGTCTGAACTCAAACACTTCCCTTCCACTGACCTGGAGGACAGGAAAGCATTAGATGAGCGTCATTTAACACAACAGATGACAGCATGAAAGAGTCTTGAAGAACCAGGAGACAGTAAAACAACAGCAACCAGAGGATATGAGAGCAAAAGCTTTACTGCCACCCTCTGGTCAAACCACAGCATCACCGTCAAAATACCCATTTCATTCAGAACAAAAAAAGATTTTTAATGCACAACACATTTTCAGAGTAAGTCCTACAACATATTTTTTTTATGTTGAGGTCGGTACTTTAATTGTTTAGGCAAGCAAGAATATCAGTGTCATGATTTTTACTCACCCCAAGTGCTCTGCCAGCTTTGAAGTCAGCTTTCTTTCTCTCCATGTCCTGCTCTGCTTTAGCCAGTTTCTCTTGCCTTTTGCTTTTCTTCCATGCCAAGAATGTTTCTAGAGTAATTCGGGTGACGTTTGCTCCCAGAGCAGACCGCTACAATAATGAACAGATGATCATTACAACAATTCTGATAGATAACTAATTACAGTGTTACTTCACAATCATGTTCTGCAACACCCTTCTCACCTCAGTCTCAATCAAATCATCCAGCGAGATTTCCTCCTCATTCTTCTCTTCTTTCTTTTTGTCTTTCTTCAGAACGAAGCCCACAGGAAGAGCGTGACGGTACATACAGTTGTCACTTCCACCAGGACAAACCCAAAACCAGCCGTATTTGTTGTTTTCAATAGCATCAAGGAAATACTTGCACACCTTAAAATAAAGATTATTTGTTAACTTCTATGATTACAAAAAGTTAATTTGAGTGTAAACTGCCAGAACCTACAATTTGGGTCTTTGCTTTCTTCTTTTCAGCCTCTCCATGTTTCTTGTTCACCACCTCCTCAAGTTTCTTTTCATCCCAATTTTCCATGGTGTCTGCAACTACACAAATCAAACAAATTAAAATAATTTAAATCTTTGACATTAAATCCAACAACCAAAAACTGAAGCAATAGTTCCAATAATGTAAATTCCAAAATCCAATGGAAACCTTGCCATTACGTAATCAACTATGTTTTAAAATGTTTTAATGTACATAATATCATGCTAAATATGTATGACTCACCTTTCTCCAGATCTTCATCTCTGCCATCCACATACACACTTCTTTTCTCACATTTCCTCTCTAAGGAGAGGTCATGAGAGAATTTACACTTATCACCTTTGGTACACTGGCCTTGCTTAAAGAAAGCACACAGCACAGACTTGGGATCAACACCTGAAATGAAACCGAATAACAGAAAATTCACGAAGATGATCAAAGAATGGAACCGAAGAGCAAAACATACAGATGGCCATTGATCATTCCAAAGCAGAACAGTCTTATTCATCACAGAGCTACAGAAAACAAGCTAGGACAAAAGTTACACATACAGTAGGCACTTGGGTGCGTTTCCCATACAATAATCCCGTAATTCGCTGCTTAACTAGCGGTGGTTCAACAATATAGATCTGGAGGTGATGGGAGTAATAACTTCTGCTAATTAATCGGTTTGAGATCAAATTAATGTCAGATTATTGCTGTAAATAAACATGACATCCACAACTACTTCGCTATTTTTTTTTTCTCCGTTGTTTTGCTTTATTTACAGGTGTTTGATTTAATCACTGATTCCCTCTTACATCATACTCCGGTGATCCCTTGGGTACACATGCGCACTCTTCAAAAGCTGTGCTGTTATTCTCTTGACAAACTAGAAAGGTATAGATTGTACTGCATGCTAGCTTCAGGAGCATGGTCTACATGTCATACTAACAAGAAACTATGCTTCTATGCTTTCGTCTTAAATGTAAATTGCGGGTAACAATGAAAGTGATAGACTTCCGTTCCCACATCTTTGGTAGTCTTTCAGGTAGAAACAACCAAATGTTAAGGTGCAATTATATTCAAGTACCCTTTTGGTCAGCAGATGGTTCTTGATGGCCTACTGCCGCTCCCACGCTATAGGTGACGATTGACGAAGTAAGGTTCAGGAGATACTATTTACATATTTATTGAGATCGGAAAGAATTCTCTCTATGATAATTAAGCTCTTTGTAGAGAAAGGAGAATGGTTTAATTGGAGTGGAAGTTTGGTCGAGGCAGACTATAATTTCTTACCAAAACAGTGACAAAATTTGCATTTAGAAGATATAAGCATTTAAAGATTGCAGTTCGTCACTTCCACCAAAATGGCTCAACGATTTTTTTGACGTCACATTGTACTTCAGCTTCTCATCAAACTTTGTCCAATCAAATGCTCTCTAGAATCCGAAGCGCCCGCCCCCCACACTATAAAATAGACACTGAAGCCGCAGCTGAAATCGGTCAGTTGTCCACAGAATTAGTATTTTCTGTACAGTGAATGGCATGTAGTGCACTATATAGGGGACAGGGAACTATTCAAACATTGTAAATATGCTTTCCATTGAGGAAAAAAATAAGTCTGGTTTCGCGCTGTGTCACGCTAACCACCGCATTGCACACACTCTGCACCGGTCCAGAGACACGATAGCACGGAGCGGATCACAAAATGTATCGGAGCTATTTGAATTCTACACAGAATGCTGTATTTTAATAGCAATATGGATGAGATTGTGGCTGGCATACCCTGTCAAATGTGGCTTTACGGAGCTCAACAGCTCTAGCCCAAGCTGTGATATAAACGAACGCTATTGGCTATTTTAAAAAGGGGCTGCTTGATATGTCCCACCCTGTCTTCCTGTTTCAGTTAAAATTACGTCAACACAGAGTCACGCTGCGTGTTTCTAAGCATTTCAGGGGACCTTTAAGGTGCAAGATTCAGAGAAATGTTTCAAATAAAGTTGTGTCCGTCATTTGATGGACCAGTTACCTTTGCTGACTTTCTGAGCTGCCACCACTGGCTTAAAGAGCTCGTTCAACTCCTTCTTGTCATCCTTCTTTTTGTTCTTTTCAGCTTCAGCAGCAATCTACAAATAAAACAAAACTCATGCAGACTTTTGGAGCACTGGTTTGGGAATTCAAACTTAAGACTAAAAAAAAAACAAAAATCAGCATTACAGTCATTACCTGCCGTGAATTCTGCTGTCCATGCTTGACCTGCTGCGTCACAGCTTTGATAAACTTCTGCTGTTTACCTCCCTTTTTATTTTTCAGTCCAAATGTTTTATCCTGCCAGAAACAATTCAAATTCACAGTAGCAATGACATAATTATTTTAAAAACGGCCCACACTAAAACTAACAGAGTACATAATGCGAACAGCATGTGATGCTTACAAAATAAGGCCAACATTAAAAGCCATATTGTTTCAAGCAAGCCAATTGTTCTATAAAAATGATGAATATACATACACAGCACAAATGTTCACAGGTACTCAGAAGGCTGACTAATAACACACAACCAACATACAAAAAAAAAAAAAAGAATAGCCAGATCACTAAGGCTGTGGCTCAAATCCTAATGAGCACTCATGATAAACTTCTGCTGTTTACCTCCCTTTTTATTTTTCAGTCCAAATGTTTTATCCTGCCAGAAACAATTCAAATTCACAGTAGCAATGACATAATTATTTTAAAAACGGCCCACACTAAAACTAACAGAGTACATAATGCGAACAGCATGTGATGCTTACAAAATAAGGCCAACATTAAAAGCCATATTGTTTCAAGCAAGCCAATTGTTCTATAAAAATGATGAATATACATACACAGCACAAATGTTCACAGGTACTCAGAAGGCTGACTAATAACACACAACCAACATACAAAAAAAAAAAAAAGAATTGCCAGATCACTAAGGCTGTGGCTCAAATCCTAATGAGCACTCAAACTGTTAACCATCTTAGCACATTAAAATCAAACGACCCCTATGATAGCTAAAAATACTGTCTAGATGGACAGCTCACTACGTTTTAAGACACATCCTGAATGTGGCACACTAGCAGTAGACTTTGGCTCATTTCACATCATCGTTGCATCTTTATTCACCACTACGTTGACAATAACAGTCTGACAGTTTAGTCTAACCCTATTAAACTAATTTATGACTGCTTATCCATGTTATTCCATTCAGTTTAGGCTCTATTTGTCATTAGGAGCTTCTAAAACGCGCCAGTGAGTGAATCAGAGCACAAGGCCCAGAGCTCAGCGTGCTGCATGAGTGCTAGAACGCCGCAAATCTCACCTCAATGATCTTCTCTTTTTTCTTCTCTTGGGTTTTCTTATTGCCTGCAACCTGAGCTGGCTTTTTCGGAGGCATATCGCTTAAGACAAACTATAAAACTGAAGACAACCTGACGCCGTGTGTAAAACGCCGTATGTTCACAGGGCAGCGCAGGCTAACTGCACTAGCAGCCGCAATGCATTCTGGAAGGTCCGGGCGCGCATGATGTGAGCGCACGTGGTGTAACAACGCCATCTAGCGCGCTGCTGTGATGGCATGTTTTCAGTGGACCATTAGTTGACTACTTCCAATGACAGACTTCAGCCTTGGCCAAATACCCGCACTTGCAGTGCTGTAAAAATGCAAGTGTTTACATAGCTTTATTTTAATTTTAAATACTTTGCGCTTAAGACAAACTATAAAACTGAAGACAACCTGACGCCGTGTGTAAAACGCCGTATGTTCACAGGGCAGCGCAGGCTAACTGCACTAGCAGCCGCAATGCATTCTGGAAGGTCCGGGCGCGCATGATGTGAGCGCACGTGGTGTAACAACGCCATCTAGCGCGCTGCTGTGATGGCATGTTTTCAGTGGACCATTAGTTGACTACTTCCAATGACAGACTTCAGCCTTGGCCAAATACCCGCACTTGCGGTCTTTGCACTTGACCACTTGACTACTTATATGAGGTATTTCCTGTATTTGGGCCAAGTGTTCAAGTGAGCATGAAGACCACAAGTGTGTGTCGAACTTTACATTTTACCTGATGGGACACACTTACAGTGCTGTAAAAATGCAAGTGTTTACATAGCTTTATTTTAATTTTAAATACTTTGCATTTTAAAATCAACTTCTAAATGTCTGTCCAGTAGTCCCTATAACATGACATAATTGTAATTTGTGGTGCTTCTAATCAAGTGATAAAAAGCAGTTGCAAATGTTGTACAAGATAAATATCACCACAACTCACCTTTGCACCAATAAAACGTAAAAACACTGTTTTCTACCAAATTATATGTAATATCTCATTATTCTATTAATATTTAACTTGCATTGGAAAGGTTTCCGTGACCTCTCGCGAGATCTCGGCAAAACGTCTCAGGATTTATTTCCAGAACATGATGCATGATGGGATACACTAAGCATTGACTAGCGCTCCGGAGCGGTATTCGAGATAGTGTGGGTTTAGTGTGCGTTAAGGGCACTGCGCTCTGGCGTTTTTAAGACCTGGGGCAGTCTTGCGCACGCGCTCTCAAGTGGCCAAGATCGCAAGTGTGGGTATTTGAACAAAGCCTTCTTCTTCTTCTTGGCTTTTAACGGCGGCTGGCAACCAGCGTAATTAGGTGCATTACCGCCACCTTCTGTTCCGGAGTGTGGAACAGAGAGTTACATTCTACTTATTAATCCCGTCCTTTTAAGAAAATTAAAGAAAGCTTTACTATTTATTTCACTTGCCCATTTTATTAAAGATTTAAAATGTACCACCTGAATTCCATTCTTCTTGATTTCAACTATCATACTACTTCTTTCTTCCTCATATTTCTTACATTGAAGAATTGCATGGGTTACTGTTTCTTCTACTTTGCATTGTTCCAATCAGGGACGTGCACAGACGTTTTCAGGGGCAGGGGCTCAAGTGGAAAAAAGGGCACTTCTCATATTTATTTACATTTTTTTCTAATCGAAACGTTAAATATATTAGGGGTGTGCGATATTGACAAAAAAAAAATCTCAATTTTTTTCTGGGATTTTATCGATAACGATAATTAGATGATATTTTGCTGAGTGTGTTGTTGTGCTGATATCTTAAGGACTGCCGTGGACAGCCGACTCCTAAAGTTTTTGATATTCTTCATATTCTGTGGTGATCAGTTCACAGCAATGATAGAAATTAATCTTTTCCAATAAGTTTAAATGGATTTTTTTACCTTTATAAATCCATTTCTAAAGTGTGCATCATCATTTCAGTCAAATTCTTCAATTGAATCAGTCAATTAGAATAATAAGTCATTTGGGCTGTTACCAAGCAAATGAAATCAATACTGACCAAATTAATCTTTGCAATGCAGAGGAAACACAGAAGCTGCATTAGAAGGGGCATTTAGATACATTTACACACTGTTTAATGCAGGACATGAATATTTAACCTGAAGTTACAAATGCATTAATACTGTTTTGATATTTTAAACATAAAACGATGAATACTGATATTTGAAATTATATATAAAAAAAGAAAATATACTTTAAATGTGAAATTAAAACTGTCAGTAGGTGGCAGCAAGTCACTGTTAATGAGTCATTGCGATTGAACCAAGGTTGATTCATTCAGGAACAAAACACCATCATGTTGCTCAGAGAAGCAAATTGAAATTATATTTGTTGGCGAAATAGAGCAAAAACAGTCAATATTGTGTCTATAAAAGGTAAGTGTCTTAATATTAAATTTGTTTATTGAACTGCTGTATAAAATCAATAGGCCTATCACATTTGTAATCATTCTGCTTTTTGATGGAAAAAACATCAGTCTTCGCGTGATACTGATTAACTACATGAAATGATATAAATATTTACATTTCTGCCCCCATATCTTGAATTTTGTGATCATTCTAAATGCATTTTAAAGGGGTCATATGATGCTGCTAAAAAGAACATTATTTTGTGTATTTGGTGTAATGAAATGTGTTTATGCGGTTTAAGGTTAAAAAAACACATTATTTTCCACATACTGTACATTATATTTGCTCCTCTATGCCCTGCCTTTCTGAAAAGTGTCGATTTTTCCAAAGCTCATCGGTCTGAAAAGCGAGGTGTGCTCTGATTGGCCAGCTATCCAGTGCGTTGTGATTGGACGAATACCTCAAGCGTGTGACGGAAATGTTACGCCCCTTACCATATTGTGATGCCCTGTCCAGCCGGAGCGACGAGACAAAAACATTAAAACCCATTATAAACGAGGCATTTGTTGCATCCAGTGGGGACATAATTACGTAATTATGTCTTTTTACGCGTTGCGTTGCATCGCGACGTGTAAACATAAAACCATGTCTGCATTTCAGAGAAATGACAAACTACAAACGCTAATCTACACTGCCCAAAACTCGCGTTTGAATCATCAGTGGCAAAT